AGAAAGTTCTGGGAGGGTGCCTGATCCATCCTTTAGCTCAGGCTGTCCAGACAGCCTCTGCCCTGGCACATGCTGCTCCAGCAACACTGGCCTTGGCTGGGATCTGTCTGTTTGCTCTGCCTGCAAACCAATTTTCCCATCTCTTCCGGTGGCTGGCCCCTTCTTTCCGTTTTGGCGTCATCTCAAATGTTACCTCCTCAGAGGTAGCAGATGCTATACTCACATCTGCCCCACCCACATCCCTTGGCACCCACTGTTCCTGTCCTTGCTAATGGCTTCCTATTGCAAGCACCTGGGCCTCTCTGCCTAAGATCTTTCTCTGATATGGGAAGACCCTTGGCCTGTGCGTCTGTAGTGGCCAGATGTGCCAGGGATTGAACACCGCAGGGTAGCACTCAGGCAATAAACGTAAAGTTGGTGGATCATGCTCTACCTTTTTTACTTTGTGGTTGGCACATGTCAGACGCATATCTACACCATTTCCCAGAAGTCCCTCAGCACCGAGGCTCAGCTGCCCACTGCTGCAACCTGCGCATTAACACACCCTTCACTGGCTTCAGCCCTTCCCCGCCTTGACTGGGTCTTGCTGGGACTACCTCCCAAATAAACCATTGGCCCTCTTATTCTTGGCTCAGGGTCTGCTTTTGCCCCCTGCCCCCACATCTAAGACTCCTCCTTGGCCATTCGAACAAAGATCCACTCATGTTCCCCACACCCTCCCTCTCCTCTCTATGTGCTTTATTTTCTCCGCAGAATTTCATCACGATGTGAGATTGTTTTGTTTTTAAGTTACTGTGTCTTTTTCGCTAGTCTGAGCTTCACGAGGTCTGGAATGCTTTCTCTCTTGTTTTTGACTCTCGTCCTAGCATAGCCCAGGGCTGGGCTCATAGTGGGCACTTCATGTCATTGTCAAGTGACTGTAGATACCATCATTTCAACCTCCCCACCCTCTGTTGCAATATAGAAACAACAGATTGAACCTCTAGGACACAGAGAGGTTGGGCAATTCACCTGCAGCCCCATGAAGGTGGATTGGAGCCCCGGGGTCTGCCACCCAGCCCAGGATGACCACCTCTAAGTGCTGTCTCTCCTGGGGAAGCACTACCCGTAAACCAGGTGGGCACCTCCTCTGCTCAGAGGTCATACCTGCCCTTCGCTCAAGGCATGACCCCTGAAGTGTATCTTTCCAAACACCACCTTCTCCCTCTCAGAAGCTGGAAGCAGCAAGAGCTTGTCTCAGTCTGCTCGTCACCACAACGAAATGGCCAGAGGTTTTAGACAACATTTATGTTCTCACAATTCTGGGGACTAGAAGTCCAAGATCGAGGTGCCAGAAAATTTGGCTTCTGGTGAGGACTCTCTTCCTGGCTTATAGATAGCTGCTTTCTCACAGTGTCCACATGTAATTGTTCCTCTGTGAGCACAGAGAAAGAATGTCCTGGTGTCTCATCTTCTTCTTATAAGGACATTAGTCCTGCGGAATTAGGGCCCTACCCACATGGCTTCATTTAACCTTGATGATCTCTTTAAGAGACCCATCTCCAAATATAGCCATCTTAGGGGTTAGGAATTCAACATGTACATTTGGGGGTGGGGGCATGATTCGGTCCATAACATGGCTTTTTAAAAGGAACATGATCACAGCCCGTGCTGGCCACAGACTGCGAAGAGCCCAGAGAATCTGGGCACCCACTGTGAGCTGTGCTAACCCAGCAGCAGAGCTGGTGCAGGATCATCAATCACCATGATGCCACGGAGTGGGAAAGATGAGCCTTCAGATAGCATGGAAGATGAATGGGGACACTGACATGTGATTAAACTGGGATCCTCCGCTGATGGCTGATGGCCCACTCTGAGTGCAAAGTTAGCACAGCCAGGCCTGGGCTCCCAGCACCCACCAGGGCACCTGCCTCTCCCCTACCAAGGTCAAAGGCTTGTTCCTCCAACCACACAGCTCCCCATCATCCTGGCCCTGTAAATGAGGCACCGAGGCATGCAATAGGACCAATGCAGGTGCTGAGAGCTGTGGGGAGATCATACCTTTAGTCACTCAGGCTGTCTGGCTCTTGTTACTAATTAATAATGATAATGAGGGCGCTGAATGAGCACTTGTTACATGTACTTCAGGTGCATTTCCTCATTTGCACATATCAAACCAGGGAAGTCAGAGTTAAGTCAGGAGGAAACAGAAAGAGGGGCCAGAGATTCGTTTATTCTTTCGTTCATCCATATGCTTTATTGAGCACCTACTATGTACTGTCATACCCACAAAGGCGAGCAAAATCCCACAAGGTCTCAGCCTTCATGGGACTACCTCCTAGTCAGGGAGACAGATGATTTAAAAAAACTAATTAAATAAGATAATTTCAAGTAATGATCATCAATTAATTAATGAAGGTGTGTGTGAGAGAGAGAGTAGGAGATGAAGCAACTTCAAATGGGATGGTTAGGAAAGGCCTCTTGAAGGGATATCTGAGCGGAGACCTGGAGGTGAAAGGAGCTGGCTATGGGAGTAGCTGGAGGGAGCGTGTTCTGG